GGTCCGGGCTGGGGATTCGAACCTGCCACCTTAGGTGTACGTGGCTGGCGCCTTAGCCGGTTGAGCTATAGGTGCCGAGCCAGGTTTTACATTTTAATAGTTAGAAATAATGTCTCCTAATTTTTAAAAGCTTATCATTGAGATGTGATGAAGGAACATCAATTATAGCCCTTGATCACACAGTCCAAACCTAGGCGAGAAAGACACACCTCAACACTATATAAAATATTATATGCAATATAGTTAACTTCATTTGGGGGAATATCTTGCCTTAAAATTGACAGAAATGACAGAACTCTGCTTATTTTTCCTCTTTTATTTTATTTATTTATTTTGGCTGGGGCTGGGTTTGAACCCGCCACCTCCGATATATGGGTCTAGCACCCTACTCCTTTGAGCCACAGGTGCCATCTGTCCCCTTTTATTTTGTTAACAGTAAATATTTAATTTAAAATTCTATTAATGAGGCCAGGAGCGGTGGCTCACGCCTATAATCCGTGTACTCTGAGAGGCCAAGGCAGGTGGATTGCCTGAGCTCAGAAGTTCAAGACCAGCCTGAGCAAGAGAGAAACCCTGTCTCTAAAAAAACAGCCTGGCGTTGTGGCGGGTACCAGTAGTCCCAGCTACTCGGAAGCCTGAGGCAAGAAGATTGCTTGAAACCAAAAGAGTTTGAGATTGCTGTCAGCTATGATACCACTGCATTCTACCAATGGTGACAACGTGAGACTCTGTCTCAAAAAAAAAAAAAAAAAATCTATTAATGACATTATCCTGTCTCCTTACTTCTTAATTTTCTATACATATATTACAACCATATATCCACATATTGCATACACTGATTTTCCTTGAAATGTGCAAGGAAAGCCAAAACATGATTAGTAACCATAAATATAGGAAAGCTCTATTCCAAGAACTAAGTGTTTTCTTCTACATTAGTAATTCATCAACCATGACTAAATCTGCAAAAAGTTGGTCATATCTGTATTAAATTAACTACTTATTAAATTATTTATTTAAAAATTTATCCACAGTCAAACTCTCTTCCCTTAGTACACAATTATGAGTTCACAACAACACTTCAATGCTATTTTACACTATACAAAATAATTTCCTGTAAATAATTTCACTTGATTCTCTAATACCTTAGAGTAGATAGGGCAGGAATTTAACAAAATAAAATATAAAAATTCAGACAAGGTAAATTACTTACCCAAAACACCAAATTAGTAAGTAAAGGAACAAGGATTTGAAACTAAATCTTCTGCCTCCAAATGTCGTGCTCTTTCCATTGGGTCTCACTGTAAATGGAGGAAAGCCTTGTTCAGAAAGTTACCTTTGGTAACATTCAGTATATATGTACTTTTAGAATCCCTGTCTGTTAGGTTTTCAGGTTTGTAGAAAGCATCCCACTTTAGATTAATCTTCTGAGCTTCAGTATAAAACAATCCCATAAACACCTGTCTGTTCAAATATCCTAGTATTATGTTTTGCTGTATACTTGCAATGTTACTGGTTCACCTACATCTAATCCAAACTTCTTTGATATCTATGTAATGTCACACAAATGTGAAAGAGATATTTTTCTGAGTTTGACAAAAACAGAACAGTTATTTAACAGAATTATACTTTTTGTCTTTTATTACCACTAAGTTAAGCCTACTAACTCAGCTATCAAACTATTCTCTGCACAGAGATAAAATTTTATATTAAAAGATGTTGCAGCTCGGCACCTGTGGCTCAAGCGACTAAGGCGCCAGCCACATACACCTAAGGTGGCGGATTGAATCCCCAGCCCGGACCCGCCAAACAACGATGGCTGCAACCAAAAAATAGCCGGGCGTTGTGGTGGGCGCCTGTGGTCCCAGCTACTTGGGAGGCTGAGGCAGGAGACTCGCTTGAGCCCAGGAGTTGGAGGTTGCTGTGAGCGTGATGCCATGGCACTCTACCCAGGGGGATAGCTTGAGGCTCCGTCTCAAAAAAAAAAAAAATGTTGCTCAGTACTAGGTTTAATTCTAGCATAAGAACTGGTGTCTCAGCTGGATGCGGTGGCTCACACCTGTAATCCTAGCACTCTGGGAGGCTGAGGCAAGGGGATTGCTTGAGCTCATGAGTTTGAGACCAGCCTGAACAAAAGTAAGAACTTGTCTCTACTAAAAGTAGAAAAACTGAGGCAAGAGGATAGCTTGAGCCCAAGAGTTGGGAGGCTGCTGTGAGCTACGATGCCACAGCACTCTACCCAGGGGGACAGCTTGAGACTCTGGCTAAAAAAACAAATGACAACAACAAAAGAAAACCCAAGAACTGGTGGCTCATCTTTGCTACACTCAGTCTTATCCAAAAGACCAAGAAGCGACAGTGGCTCATCTTTGAAATACAATAACTTGAAAATTTAAGGCAATGAGGTGAATTCTTCATTACTGTTTCACGCATATTAAGGCTTAGATGTAATTTAACAAAGCAACAATATTTTAACAAGATTTTAACTATATGTCAAATGAAAAGAAATTGAAAAAAATATCATGTGAAAGTCCACTATAAACTCACCAAGAGATAACTACTGTGACCATTTTGGTGGATATTCTTGCCAATTTTTCTATGCAGATATACTTTACTATTTTACTAAGATGGGAAAGCAGCCAAAGACAATATATAAACAAATGCACATCACTGCATTCCAATAAAACAATATTTACAAAAACAGGATGCAAGCTGGATTTGGTCTGTGGGCCATAGTTAGCCAAGCTGTTTTAAATACCATGTAATTTACTTATTTTGCTTATTGTTTATTATTGGTTGAATTGTCCTCCCCACTCCCCATACAAAGCTATGTTGAGGTCCCATTCACTAGTACCACAAAATGGGACCCTCTTTGGAAACAGGACCACTGCACATATAATTAGCTAAGATGTCATACTAGAATGAGCTAAGGTGGGTCTTTGGTACAGTAAGACTGGTTTCCTTAGAAGGAGAGACAGAGACATAAGAAGAATGTCATGTAATACAGGCAAAGATTGATGCAGTTGTAAGCTAAGGAATGCCAAAGATTGATGGCTACCACTAGAAGCTAGAAGAAGCAAATAAAGATTCTATCTGGAGTCCCAAAAGGACTTCTAGCCTCCAGAACCTTGAGAAAATTCATTTCTCTTGCTTTAAACCACTCAGTTAGTGGTAGAGATTGAGTATTCCTAATCTGAAAATCTGTAAAATGTTCCAAAATTCAAAACTTTTTGGAGTACCAATATAACACTCAAAGGAAATGCTCACTGAAACATTTAAAATTTTGAATTTTTAGATTTAGGATGCTCAACTGCTAAGTATATAAGAAAACATTACCAGATTAAAAAAAAAAAAGTCAGAAATCTGATATATTTTGGATAAGGACACTCAACCTATACTTTGTTAGAGTAGCCCTAGGAAACGAATACATTGTCTGTGTCCCCAAAATAGAAGGTAAGTAAGGAGTGAAATGAGTAGGCCATATATGGTAGGTATATGCTTAGCTATGTATATTTTCTTTGGTTATGTGTCTGATCAAATATTTTGATAACTTTTTAATTGGGTTTCTTATTTCTCATTATAAAGTTTTAAAAATATATTCTGGATATAAGGCCTTTATTAGAAAATTGATTTGGACTATATTTTCTCCTAATCTGTGGCTTGTCTTTTCCTTCGTTTAAGTGTCTTTTGAAGAGCCCAATTTATTAATTTGTGTATAAGAAATCTTTGCCTGGCTTGGCGCCTGTAGTTCAACAGCTAGTGCGCCAGCCACATACACCGGACCTAGCAGGTTCAAATCCAGCCAGGGCCTGCCAAACAACAATGACAATTACAACCAAAAAATAGCCAGGCATTGTGGTAAGTGCCCATAGTCCCAGCTACTTGGGAGGCTGAGGCAAGAGAATCACTTGAGTCCAAGAGTTTGAGGTTGTTGTGAGTTGTGATGCCACTGCACTCTAACCGAGGCAATATACTGAGACTCTGTCTCAAAAAAAAAAAAAAAACCAAGAACAAAAAGAAATCTTTGCCAAATCTAAAGTCACAAAGGTTTTTTCCTAGAAGTTTTATGGTTTGGGGTTTTACATTTAGGTCTTTGAATACTTCACATATGGTGTGAAGTTAAGAATTCAAGTTCATTTTGAAAAAATGGATGGCCAATTGTTTTAGAACCATTTGCTGAGAAAACTATCCCTTCCCAAGTGAATTGCTGCTGTAGCTTTGTCAAAAATCAGTTGTCCACATATGTGTGGGTCTATATGCATATGCTCAATTCCACAGGTGTGCAAACTTTTCACATAAAGGGTAAATATTTTAGGCTTTATGGGCCATAAGGACCCTGTTAGAGCTACCAATGTACTACTGTGGCACAAAAGCAGTCATTCATAATGCATAAATAAAAGGGAACAGCTGCATTCTAATACTACTACTTTATAAAAACAGGAAGTGGGCTGGTTCACCTGAGGGCTGTACTTTGCTAACTCTTGCTCTGTTTATTCCTTTCATCTATTTGCTTATCTTTATGTAGTGACTACACTATCTTGACTATAGCTTTAGGTCTTGAAATCAATGTTCTGTGAACTTAAAATAGAGTGTTACATAAATGTCCGTAACACTGATATGACTTTTTCATAACAGTCCATAACATTGTTCTGATAGGGTTTTTCAAATATTCTATGTTCTTACAGTTTTTCTGTATACTTCTATGAAAGAGGGGTACTGAAATTCCAAAATATAATTGAGGGTTGATGTATTTCTCCTTGCAGTTCTATCAGTTTTTGCCCCATATACTTTGTTATTTAGTATATCCTCCTAATGAACTGACCCTTTTATGGTTAGAAAACAATCTTCTTTACCCCAGTAATATTCTTTTCTCTGAAATCTACTTTGACATTCAGGCTTCTTTTGATTGCTGCTATCATGGAATATCTTTCCCATCCTTCTATGTTTAATTTGTTTCTTCTTCAGATTTACAGGGCATTTTTTTTTTGTAGGCAGCATGTAGTTGTATCTAATCTGACAATGTCTGCTTTTCAATTGGGTATTTAGATCACACACATTTAATATCATTTTTGATATGGATGGTTAGGTTTAAAGCTATCATCTCCATACTTGTTTTCTACTGAACTGATCTTTTCTTCCCATTTCTTCCTTTTCTCTTACTTTTGTTAACTGAATATTTTTTATTCTGTCTTCCCTTCTTTGTTGGCTTATAAACTAGAATTCTTTGTTTTTATATCTTAGTGGTTGTTTTAAGGTTTATAGTATACATTTTTCACTTATTGATCCAGTATAAAATAGTATAATTCCATTCTTTCCTCTTGACCTTTGTGCTATTTGGCATACATTTTAATTTTGCGTATGTTAAAACCACAATGTACTTTACATATGTTATAAACCACTTGTCATTACTTTTGTTTAAACAGTTAATTATTAATGTTTTAAAAGAGATTTATACAATAAGAAGAAAATCATGTGTTAGATGCAGCGGCTGGGTCTGGCCTAACACTTTAGGAGGCTGAGGCAGGGGGATTGCTTGAGGCCAGGAGTTTGAGATTAGCCTGGGCAACAGAACCAAACACTATTGGTGGGTGGTGGAATGTGCTTTTAAGCCTGAGCTACTCAGGGGTACTGCTTAAACTAAGGTGACCAGATTTTAACATTGGTAAAGCAGGACACCATTGACGGGGGTGAGGTGGGGGTGGGATGGTTCTTAATTAAAAATTTGGTCTATATGGAGCAATAAAAATTTTCATAGAATGCAAAAATAGTATTGTAATATTTTTTAAATTTCAACATAAATACAATTTACAAATATAATACATTAAAAAATAATATATAGTATTATTTTATTCTTTGGCAGATTTCTCATCAAATTCTAACAACTGATCAACAATGTGAACTTTGAAAAGCAGTTCTCAATAATCAGTTCTCAACAATTATTTGTTATTATTAAAATTTAACATTATAAAATTAACAAAAATAATATAAAACTCATATCCTGGCGAAATAGCCACATGGCAGCTGAAAACCGTACATTCCCTTCCCATTCTCCTGCAGTTCCCTAGCTTGTTGTGCATTCTTTCCAAAAATCGGGACTTTTTAAAAATGCTGTGGGACGCGGGACAAATTGTTAAAAAGGAGGACGCCTGGTCACCTTAGCTTAAACCCAAGAGTTTGAGGTTACAGTGATTGGGCCACTGTACTACAGCCTAGGTAACAAAGTAATATCCCGCCTCTTAAAAAAAAAAAAAAAAGGTAAAAGAAAAGACTCTTAGACATTACCATGTAGTTACCAATTCTA